CCACAGAATCTCACCCACCCCTTCCTAGAATAATCCTCTCACCTACATCTCAGATATTGAAGTCCTCAAATGATGGTTTGAAGACCCCAAGATGCAGAGAATCCTCCAGCAAGTGTTCCGTGATCCATGCTACAGAGGAAGGCAAAAAACCTCCAGAATTAGCGATGGAATGAGAGAGTGACCAAGAGTGGTGTATTAATTCATCATTTTTTATATTTTTTCTTCAGGTAATTCATTGTTGTTCACTGGTTGGCAGGGAATGAGTGTGTGTTGATGACAGCACATTTAGACTGTAAGCTCTTTGGGGCAGGAACGGTCTGTTGTATGTTTGTATGATACCTACGACAAAGGGAGAAAAGTATAGCATGATCCAATGACTGGAAACTTAAGCTACGCACATGCAGATTGGAAATAAATCATAAATTTTTAACAGAGCAATTTACCAAGGGTCGTAGTGGAGTCTTCATCACTAACTATTAGACTGATTCTTTGTCTAATAGCTCTGCTCTAGGAATTACTTGGGAGAAGTTCTATGGCCTGGGTTATACAGAAGCTTAGACTAGATCAGTAGCGGGCAACCTGTGGCTCGAGGGCCACATGTGGCCCATCAGGGTTCTGTGTGTGGCCCCCAAGACATTTTGTTTACCATTGCCCATGCCCAGGGTTGTCAGACTCTGCTGGTTTCTGTACATGTAATTTTTTTCTAAATATAACAAATAAATAGTAATAAATAATAATAAAACATAAAAAGGGAGCCTCTTGAGCCTCTTAGGTTACTAAAAGGACACGCACATAAAACAAGGGCATGTGAAGTGAGTTGCCCGCTGATAGCGCACAACATAGACTGTGAGAGTCGTGCACTCCCTCTGCAGCCAGTCAAAGTGCTGCTACAGTTCAATCTGCACACACTGCAAATTCTAGGTACACAAGCACAGTTAACAAAACTACCCTATTCTGGGGGAATGTGTTGTTTACAACACTCCTGTGGCCCATAGAGATGAAGGAGGGCCACCCAGCCCCACTCACTAGCCAAGGTTGCCCATTGCTGGACTAGATGATCGCAATGGCCCTTTCTGGCCTTGGACTCTGTGAATATTGTCTGCCATGGAGGCAGCAAAGTTACACAATCAACCCATAATGCATTTAACATATTGTGCAATGTAGAACATGCAAATCACACAGCTATAATAAGGGAGCCCCATGAGATTCTTACACAAGCACTGGCAAGAAACCCTCTGACGTTTCAGACACTAGGGGAGATCGCTAGATGATCAGGGCTGAGGTAAACCTACTTACTAGACAGACATTTATTTGTATTTTTTTCATGCAGATAAATTGAGACCTAGTAGCACAAAGATCACTATTTGAAATGATAAATGTGTTGAATAGGAATCACTGCTAATGTCCATTAACCATTTTAAAAGCTCTGCAAACCTCAGTAAAACCCTTTTCCATTTCACTTCTGCTGCTGAAAAGCATATGTTCCTTCTCAGTGGACTGAGTATCGTGGTTCTGAGCAAGGTGCTACGCTCAAGCCTAACGTTGGCGTCACTCTGCTACATTTACTCATTCACTTAGGGGATGTCTACACAGCAAACAAAGGAGTAATTGTAGTGCAGCATGCCCATGCTATCTTTATTCTGTCTAGCATGCATAACAGTTGTAATGCTGATGTGGTGGCACAGACTTCAATACTGGCTAGCAACATATTCTGGTTCCCTGGCAGGCATGTACTTCAGTGTCTCCCCATGCTGAAGCCTGGCTACCATGTCTACATGGTATACTATTGTTATCCTTTATCCTGTCTATCCAGGTTAAGCTCTCAGAAGGGTAGCCGGTTTAGTCTGTAACTAAAAAAACTTAAAAAACAACAATGGTCCTACAGTATCTTACAGACTTACAAAAATATATAAATAGTATTGTGAGCTTTCGTGGGCACAATCCACTTACCTGAATAAGCAGGTTGTGCCCATGAAAGCTCGTGACACTATTTATATATTTTTGTTATTCTCTAAGGTGCAACAGGAGAATATTTTTTTAAAATTTATTTATTTATTTATTTTAAGATTAAAGCTGTGAGGGGTACACCTGCCTGGGCCACAGTCACACTTTTTTAAAATTTATTTATTTATTTATTTTAAGATTAAAGCTGTTAGGGGTATGCCTGCCTGGGCCACAGTCACATCTTACTTAATTTGCTGAGTGGACATGTCCATAAACCCAAGGCAATGGGACTGCTCATAAGCAGGATCTGAGGTCTCTATGGGGGTCCCTCATCTAGGACTTGTAAAGATAAGCAGTATCTGCATATGGTTGTAACTGCAATACATGGCTGCAGTGTTTGCCTGTCATTCTTCTCATGCAGTGACAGGCAGGGATAGTAAACTACTCCTCTACGTCTACACTGACATGATCTTGTGCAAAAACTCTTCCAGAAGAGAGTGTCTACACTGGCATGTGCGTTTGTGCAAGAGATGTGCTTTTGTGTAAGAGCATCCATGCCAGTGTAGACGCTCTCTTGCGCAAGAAAGCTCTGATGGCCATTTTAACCATCAGGCTTTCTTGCGCAAGAAATTCATGTTGCCTGTCTACACTGGCCTCTTGCGCAAGAACAGTTGCGCAAGAGGGCTTATTCCTGAGCGGGAGCATCAGAGTTCTTGCACAGGAAGCACTGATTTCATACATTAGAATGTCAGTGTACTTGTGCAAGAACTCGCGGACAGTGTAGATAGGCAGCAAGTTTTTGCGCAAAAGTGGCCGCTTTTGCGCAAGATCGCGCCAATGTAGACACAGCCCTCATGTTTAAGAGATACAAAGAGCTTTTTCATGTAACTAATGTGATCTTCCTTCAAAGAGTTAATAAGTCGATCAAAGTAAATATGGTACCAAGCTCAGCAGCATGTAATTTTCCATCACTGCTCAGTCCCCTGATGCCTCAGATGCCTCTCCTATGCTTCTGGGTTCAGGTGTTTCTGTTGCTGGAAGGTAAAGACAAGATGTGACAAGTGTATTGTGTTAAAAACTAAGATCATGTGACCTAGAAAGTATGAAAGAGGGGCTCAGGCACACACAGTGTTAGAGCCATAACCACGTTAAACAATGGAAAAAATGGTTTATAGTTGCTAGGACTGAAGAACAGTTAATACACCGTGGGAAAGCAAGAGTAGAAAAGAATCTGCATCTACTTCTGCACAATTTGAACAAGCAGTACATTTCTCTACCCTGCAATTTATTCTTTAAAAAAACCTCTGTGGAAACTTAGTGCTTCAGTAAGATCTAACCTACCAACCTGGGAGCTTGATGTCCTCTAGCCACAGAGCTGATACAGCACAATGCAGAAGCATCACAAACTTCACGTGCATTGCCCTGACATGGTGACTCCATCTAGCCACAGAGCTGATACAGCACAATGCAGAAACATCACAAACTTCATGCGCATTGCCCTGACATGGTGACTCCGTTCTGACCCAGAGCAACCATTCCTAAGCGGCAGCCTGAGACGATATAATAATCTCTATCCCCATTTAATTCATGCCCGTTCCTTAAAGAAGGTCAGCAAAAATGCCAACTAATGTCAGTTGTAGAGGGTTTTATTTTAATGGCCCTTTGCATCTGATCCAAATACCCACAGACTCATTGACTTCAGTTTGATTAAGAAACAGGACGTGGTATTCAGGAACTGGATTTGAGCTCTCCAAACTCATGGCCTAGGCCACTGAATAGTATTTCTCTAGCTTCAGTTAAGGGTCCCTCTAGTGGAGTTGCACTTACATTTGTATAACATTTACCATAAATTAATTCGATACAGTACTCACAAACCACTAATGTTCCCCTTGGAGAAGGAGCTAAAATGGAAAATATGAATTGCATGTTGTGAGGGTCATTCCCAGTTCAGCTATTTTGTGTCTTATTTATCTCATGATTTCTCCCTTCCTTTTTGAGCATTCTTAAGTGGTTCTGTGTTAATCAAATTTGCAAGCGGGCCATAAGGTTTTCTAGGAAACACATTCTCAAAGGCATTAGGAGTTTCTCTTTCAACAAAATATATAGCGCATGACTGAAAAAGCTAAGGAGACTGATGGTAACGAGCTGGACCACAATTCTTGTGTTATGTGCTACAATTTGGAAATCCAGAAGTTGCAATGAGTAGTATTTTTTTCTAATATCTGGACACTATAAATCAAAATATTTAGCTAGATTACAGTGAAAAGCTGCACTGGTTTTTAGGTACAAGGTACCCAGGTGCTGAGGAGAAACTGATTGTTAAAGCTCAAAGGGGGAGCAGCTGGCTCCCAAATCCTCTGGAGTCTGATCTTTATTCTAATCATGTCAACATCTATCTTAAAGAAACACACCCATAATATGTGGGGAGAGGTTCATCCACACCAGCAAGACTTCTGATGGTAAGTAAGTAGACACCCTGCAGTGTGTCCACATCATCATCAGGCTTCCTTTTACTGAGAGTGTCCAAAGCCTAAGCAGACACATCTGTATCTAATATAATTGGATCAGATCCATCTGTCTCCTACTATGATGTGTATTATAAGTAAGGGATTGCTCCTGCATAATTTTCATACTTACCTCATTAATAGCTCATCTGAATACGACTTATGAAGAGATAATTTAAAAATATTCTCCTAGCACCTTCCTAAAAGGTCCTAACTCATTATGGAAACATCAGAGCCAGAATTCTGGCACTTCAACAGTAGAGAGTGCACAAAATAATACAAATAACTTGCATTTTAATTTGATTATTAAGGAACAGGGCAAATTTTAGATACTTTTCAAAATATCCGCATAATCCTCACTCTGTATAGTGCATTGCAATTGAGATACAGTCTTTGTGGCTTGCCACTTAGGTAGTAAGGATAGCAAGCTATGTCTCTGGGGAACCTGCTTATTCTTTCATAGGATGATAGATGTAAATATATAGTCAAGGGCCTTATAAAGGCTCGAGTATTTTTTACATTGATCATTTCCCAAAAGTGGCTCCTAATGAAATGGCCAGCTTGAAGTTGTGCTTGCTTCTAGGATTGTTTGCATTCTTTCTGCGTATGCTGGCCATTCAAGGTGCAGAAGGTACATGTAGATTGCTAGGAAAATTTGATTTGCATGGCTATGTGGAATCTGAGAATCGTACGCTGATCATAGGAGGAATGTTTCCCATTCACTTCAGGTCTATACCAGAAAAAGAACCAACTTCTTCAGAGCCAGTGTCACCAAAATGTGAAGGGTAAGACATTTTTCCTCCCTGGCAGCTTGGAGGATAAATGCAGGTGGGAATGTGTGAGAGTGCCTGTGTATGTGTTTTATTATTGAATAAACATGTTAGAGTGTGTAAGATATGCAAATAGTGGCTTCCACTTAAGACAAGTTGAAGAGTAGCTCTGAGTGGCTTGACCATGGAAGAACATTTTTAGACTCACTTGACAGAAAGGTTATCTATAGATATGGCTCATTTGGGTGCAAGAGACAGATACATAAAGGGCATCCATTTTTCTGTTTTTTTGTTCAATATTGTGAGTAAATCTGACTGCAGTGACTAGTCACCAACTTACAGTCAGCACAATGTCTGTGTTAAAATCTGAATGTTCTAGCATCATTTATTAATTATTCTAAGTAGTAGGGGACTGTGGACTCTCAATAGTGCCCAGACCCAGATGAGCACTTAAACATGTGCCTAACTTTATGCACATGGCTAATTCTAATGATTTAAGTGGGAATATAAATAAGTTTTCAATTAGACATCTGGTTAAGTGCAGTCCTAGAGCAGGAGGTAGGTGCTCAAACACCACTGTAATGGTTGCAGCATGAAAATCTTGATGGAATCGAATAGATTAGCACCTGGCAGCATTGTTCCCAAGCCAATACATTTACAACACCGAGTAAAATCACACCAATTTTTGTTGTCCAGTAACCGTGAAATAGTGTCTATGTTTAGGGAATATTAAAATGTCACAGATTTTACTGATGTGCTCTTCTGGAAGGGCCATTCCCAGCAGAGAGAGAGAGTGTTATGCGTGCTTAAGGGGTTTAAGACTCAATTGCAGGTAGAGCTATTCGTCACATTCAGTGAACTGTATGGTAGGCTGTACTGTGAAACGCCTGGGGAACTTTTTCAAGACCGCTGCAGTGAGTTTATGAATAAAGGTAATTACACACTATGCATTAACCATATTTTATTCTGTATGTTTTAGGAGCCAGTAAAGTTGATTCTGAAAAGAGATAAAAATGGTATAGAACACTTTGCTATTACTAATATCACCAGTTACCAATGCAGGCAGGTGCTGTGTTCCTGTAGTTTCCTTTGCAGTCAATGGGAACTGCAGGTGCTCAGCATCCCTTTTCAGAATCAGACCCATATTACATACTATTTGAATAAAGAACAAGGACTTACTCTTCTTCCGACTGACTTCAATAAATGCTGGTTAGTGGTTTTACAGACCCTTGCTTCTTGCACAGAACTTTCATGGAAGTCAATATGAATTTTGCACAAAAGCTGACAGTACAGTACAGGCTATAAAAATAATCCTTGTACCCTCGAGTTTGAAAAATGCAAATAATACTCGATAACACTAATTTTATTGTATTTTTTTTAAACAATATGTAATTTTTATACCTGTTAAAATTTGCTAGCAAGTAATTCCCGGTAAACTTGCCACTATGATTACTTTGTTGCAAAATGTGTTCTATTATTCTGTAATAGTAAGTAAAGAATCTAATGCTGAGAAATGTGGAATGCCAGCAACTCCCAAATAATTATGAATTGCATGTGTTTAGCATCTCTTAAGATTTTGTCCCCAGTATATATCACAATAAAGTATTTGTTAAAGCTTTTGGCATTGTTGAGTAGAAAATAGCAGCAGTATTGCTGGAAATAATATCACATTTCTGAAAGCATTGTACATCAATTGTGTGCACATCCCACATAATGAAAAACAGAACAGAAATTATGCTTTCTTCTCTATAGTAACTACACCATAGATCGGAATAGCTATAGCTCAACATACGCTTCCTCAGGGGTTTTTATTGTTGCTTTTGAGGAAGAAGAAGCATATTATATAGAAATAGGATTGGTATATGACAATTATTTATTCTGAGAAGGAAAAAAATCTACATTGACCAGCTGCAAGTAAAGCTGTGTGAATAATTCATAGTGTATAGTTTTCATGATGAATCGCTCCCCTTTTTCAGTGTGTAAAGCTTACAATTTTTCTCAAATGTATTTATTATTTAAAAATGTTGTCCATGAGGAGGGCTACAGATTGCATCTCAGCATTTCAATAACATTTAGAATTTTATATCTGAAATTTGAGCTGTGTTAGTGAGTTTGCATTGAGCACAGAGGGTCCAGGTTCCTATTCCTAAACTGAATGGATGTAATTCTTTGAACCAAACTACTGATATAAAAATGTAGGTTTTCAGTGTCAGAATTCACTTTCCATTAAGGCTAATTCTCCACGTTGCATGGGTTCTTAGAAATCATTCCTTCTGTTTCAGTCAACAAGAATTGGCACCAGAGCTTAATGTGTAATGAAAAAGCTGCTGGAATTCAATCAGTTAGGTGCTAAGGCTAACAAAATTATTTTACATTCATATAACTGGTGCAACCAGGGGTGGATGAGAGTGCCGTGGGGCCCAGGGCAGCGCCGCGGGGCCCCGGGCAGCAAAATTTCGCAGCCCCCCCCTTTGACACAGCGAATGTGCCGTGGTACCAAGGCGCATGCGCGGGGCCTCGGGAAGCGCGGGGCCCGGGGCAGCCGCCCTGCTCGCCCGGCCCTAAATCCGCCGCTGGGTGCAGCAAACCCATAGATGTTGGGTCTATGAACTACCAAGCTTAGAGGTACTGGGGCTCAGCCATAGCACAAATTAAGTACTGGTTTGCTCTAAAAAATGGTTTGGACCAGCAGTTCCCAAACTTTTCCAGATGGGGACCCATTCTGACAATTCAGGAAGACTTGGTGACCCAGAGCAATTCAAAAAATGTGTGAATGGCTTCTTCAGAACCACCTGGGGAGAAACACCTGTCGACCCTTTTGAAATGTAATGGCGACCCATATTTGGGTCCTGACTCATAGGTTGGGAAACCCTGGTTTGGACCAAAATGCCTGAATCTGAACATCTCTGAAAACTTTGCAGATCATTGTGAATTTTCCAACCAGGGTGGTTTGCAAGTAACCAACCTTGAGTTTGCAAGGAGAGCTAAAACTAAGCAAGTTTTCATGTTGCACAATGACACCTTGTCACCATCCAAATTATAGGCTGGTCTAAAAGGGTGAGAGAAAAGTCAAGCAATCTGATTAATCTGTGGAGGGCCCTCTACTGTCATTTGAGTCCCATGGGATTTGAAGATACTCAGCCCCTGGCAGGATCAGCCCTCATTCTCTGGAAAGGCACTGTATATTTATGACAAGTGAATACAATTCACAAGTCATAATCTCTGGTCTGGCTGTGCTATGCGGGGGAAGTGGGAAGGGATAGCAGGGTGGGAAGCAAACGTAAAATATTTTCTCATAACTATTTGTGGCATTGGTGTTTTGTTCGAGTGTAAATTTATTTTAGGCCAGCTGAGCATGCCTGCCTGCTTCCTTTCTTCCTTCCTAACCCATCACCACTGGGCCGCTCAGGATTGTAGTCCAGTCTTAGGTACATTATGGCTAGGTCAGCAGAACATGTCAGAAATAGCAGGTCTGCTGCTGCTTACAGGCCTGCAGTGCAATACAAGCAGCAGGGGCTGGCTGGGATGCTTCTGCTGGGTTTTCTTGGTGACATCCTGGCTCCCTTTTCTGTTTCCCAGAGAGCACAAAACATCAAGTGTATGTTTTAACTCGGAGTGCTAGTTTTAGGCACAGATTGTATTGTGACTCCATAAGAATGGATTGCTCGGATGTGACTGTGGAAACTGGTACTCCACCTAAAACAGTTAAATGTTTGAAGAGAGGAAAGACTTGAAGCCTAGACAAACACTCCTAGGTTTGAGTTCATGTGACTGAGACTCTCAAGACAAAACTCAGAGAGAAAGGGCACTCGTTGTAGTATTGGAGAGGGATATTGGTTCATGCAGGAAAACCTTGCCATTCATAGGCAAAATTCACAAATACTAGGAGCCGCAGCTCCTGTCCCCTGTGGTGATCCATTCAGCCCCCACAGCTCCCAAACTCACTGCAGGGCTTGGCAGCTGTGTGGAAATCACTGTGGTCCCACCTTCTGCAGGAAATTCACCACAGATGTCGGAAGGCACAGGAAAGTCACCATGGCGCCTGGCAGCTGGGACTGAAGACCTGCGAATACATGGAACTGTGAATAACGATTCCATGAATAGTGAGGGTCTCCTGTATTGAAACAGCAAAGAAACATTTTAGCTTCTCTATTTTGGTTCTGCTTTCCATAAACAGGACTTGAACAAATTATTATCATTATTAAAGCTTCTAGGGTGTTTGTGTAGTGTCTGGGCAATATTGTGCCAGTATATAAGCACATCAGATTTCTCCACAACAGGAACAAAACTTTCCTTCACTCCCTCACAGATCAAAGCCACTTCAGAAGAGTCCCATTAAAGTGAATTATTTGATGGCTTATTACACCGAATTCATCACTGAACTGAGATTTCCCTTATTAGTGGTTTGTAGCAAACTCAGTCTGTTAGGGTAGAGAGAGCAGAAGTCTGTTTTAAATCTCAAAATCAGCCGGCATACATAAATTACACAAGTACAATTATTTCTAGTTATGGTGATCTCCTCCTCCCCTCCAAACTATTTAAATATTTAAAATGTAAGAACTGTACTTATGACTCTCAAGCAACCAACAACAGAGATTGCTTCTTTTGGTTTGGTATCTTGAAAAGCTCCTCAGGTGGTTATAAAACAACAAAAGCATCCCTCCCCCCAACCATTTTCCCAAATGCTGTCAAAGCGGAGCAGTAAGGCTTTGAATGTAACATGGATTTACACTCAGTTCTGAATAAATCATAGTTCTTTGAAAGCTTGTTTGTATAAATTCCAATCAGGTATATGCATACGCTGTGTGTGCATGAGAACTGGATGATTTTTCTCCTAGCTATACCAGTAGGGTCGGCCTGGGGAACCTGTGGAGTCGCACCTTTATATGTTGCTCAATATAGGACCATGATGACCTGCCACCCCTTCAAATCCTTCTTATCATGGGCGCGATTAGCAGTGTCCCATTATGATTTTGTATATAGTCAATTAATTTTCTTAGTAACAGTTGTAAAGTTAGTGTTCGTTTTTTCTAAATTTCCATTATGGGGGTGTCTCTCCCAATTCTCCACCAACACCAGGGCACGCCTTAGACTCTGGGGTTTAAATCATGGGCAAAGTATAGTAAACTTACGCTGAAAAGTGACATCCACACTTCTTGCTTGAAGGGCCTTGGTGAGAGTCACCAAAAGGATAAGTGCTAGATTTATAAAGGCTTCTGGCTGAGGATCCCTAACAACTGTGAGCAGAGACTCAAAATGATTCCTATGGAGAGAACCCTCTGGCCACAGCCCGACCCTGATTCAGCAGAGCTCTTGCCAAGTACCTCCTCCGCAGTGCACAGTGTGCCAACAGCGCACAAGCTAGCACCAGGAAAGGAGGCAAAGGACTCCCAGCACCAACACGGCGGCTGTCTCAACCGTTTTATCAACCCTGGGATCCCATGGGGTCCCCCATGGTAGCTGCAGTGATGGTCTTCCTCACATTCATTTTGATGAGTGGCAGCAGAAAAAAGTGACTACTAAAGAAAGACCTGTGACCGTAGTCCTTACTCAACTGAATGATCAGTGTTTGCAACATATAAAGATAATGAGACTGCTCAGATGAGTAAGGGCCTGCAGGGTTAGACCCGCCATGATAATTCAGTTACTGTTCATTTTGGAGCTGATCCTGGGAGATGCTGAGTGCCTTCTAGAAGTTTCTGAACACTCTCCAATTATATCAACTTTTACAGGATCAGATTTCAACACACCCCATTAATTTTCAGGGAAAACCATGCACTCAGAAAATATGTTGCTTTGCTTTTAGGAATGACAGAATAAGTGTGTTTTGTGTGGAAGTGCTTCTGGCAAATGTATTCAGCACTGACGAGTACTTTGTCTCTGCAGGTTTAACTTCCGAGGTTTCCGTTGGGCCAAAGCCATGATACATGCCATCCATGAGGTTAACAATAGGCTAGATATTCTTCCAAATATAACACTGGGTTATCACATCTATGATACCTGCTTTACAACATCTAGAACTGTTGAAGCAACTTTGGCATACCTTACTGGGCAGAATGAAACCATGCCCAACATCAGATGCAGTGCTGGTGCACCTCTCATAGCTGTCATTGGAGCTGGTGGATCGACATTGACTATTGCATCTTCAAGAATTTTAGGGCTCTATTATTTCCCTGAGGTAAATGAAGGTGGTATTTTTTAAAATCTAAATATAATGAGCAATACGCCATTATTTGAATAACAGAGTGCGAGAGGTAATCTCTCATTATTGGAGCAACTTCTGCTGATGAATGAGACAAGCTTTCAAGTAACACAGAGCTTTGATACTGGCCTAGGAAAGGTACTCAGCGTGTTACAGCTAAACACAAAACTTAACAGATTGTTGAGTATAAGCAGTAAACATTTCCCAGACCTGAAGAAGAGCTCTGTGTAAGCTCAAAAGCTTCTCTTCCACTAACAGGAGTTGGTCCGATAGAGAAGTTATTAAAGTTATTCAAGATGGAGTCTACACCTTGAATGGTTTTCACTTTGAATGGTCTAACACATATTGTAAGAACTATTTAGAATAAACAATCTGTTCTACCTTGTATTTAGCTGTGACAATTAGGCATGTGGCTAGCCTTGTACCAGTTGACTGGGGCAAGTACTAGGGCTTATACTAAGTACTAAATGCAGTGTAGCCATTTGGGCTCAGGCTGCAGCTGTGGTTTCTAGCTGCAGTGTAGACACACACCGAGTAACTTTCCCAGACCTAAAGAAGAGCTCTGTGGAGCTTGAAAGCTGATCTTCCACTAGCTGAAGCTGGTTCAGTAAAATGTATTACCTAGCTCACTTTGTAGCTCTAATATTGTGGGATCAATATGGCTACAACAACACTGCAAACAATATATTAACAGCGAGAGAACTGAAACATACAAGAATTATATTAGTTGCCTCCCTTATCATTTGTACATTCGAATACATGGATTAAAACTGATATTTAAATCAGCCCATAGCCTGGTTATTTCTGAGCACCATGGGCGGGATCCAGTTCTCATTGAAGATGCTGGTAAAATCCCACAGACTTCAATAATTTTACAAGATTTTAGCATGCACTTTATTGTCATAGGACATGCAACCAGTAGTACTAGTAAATGAGAGGGAGTATGGCTAATTGTTAGAGGAAGGAGCAGGGATTTGTTACTTCTGGGTTTAGCCCCCGCTCTGAAACTTGCTCCCTATGGGTATGTCTACACTACCCCGCTAGTTCGAACTAGCGGGGTAGTGTAGACATACCCATAGGGAGCAAGTTTCAGAGCGGGGGCTAAACCCAGAAGTAACAAATCCCTGCTCCTTCCTCTAACAATTAGCCATACTCCCTCTCATTTACTAGTACTACTGGTTGCATGTCCTATGACAATAAAGTGCATGCTAAAATCTTGTAAAATTATTGAAGTCTGTGGGATTTTACCAGCATCTTCAATGAGAACTGGATCCCGCCCATGGTGCTCAGAAATAACCAGGCTATGGGCTGATTTAAATATCAGTTTTAATCCATGTATTCGAATGTACAAATGATAAGGGAATAGAATTCTTCCTATGGGTCTTTTCTCTTAACATCTCCCAGTGCCTGAATCGGTCAAGAACTGAATATCTCCTGCAGGCTGCTGAACATATAGGACCTGAGCAACTTAGCAAAATGTGTTTTGTAGTTTGCATAACTGAGTCCTAGATTTGGATCAGCCATATTAAAGTGCCTTCTGTTTGCCAATTTCTGAGTAAGGTTACTTTATTTTTGACAAACAATTCCCAAGAAACGTTGATAATGGTTACTATTCTATCTCACTAATTACACTATCCAAATTCTTTGTAATACCCAAGAAAACAATAGCCAAACAAATAGAAGTGTCAACAAGGAATTGAAGTTATCATTAAATGCCCCTGGAAAAGTAAATTCTTCAAACTGTATTTTTAGCAGCTGCTAGCCAAGTAAAGTGGGGTTAAAAATTCTCGTAGTTTGAGACTAGCAAGCTCCTGCATGCTCTTCCCTTAGCAATTTGTAGGATCAAGAGTTCACTGGGCACAAGCACCATAACCTAGAAATGGCGACAGGTTATTTCTAAAGAAGAGCACATTTTACAAAAATGGGTCAGTGTGGACTAAATCACAACAGCTGAGTTGAAACTGATGGAGCTTTAGTGTCTAAGTCTTTAATTTTGACCTTTATCCTCAGGCAAAACTGATATAAATGCCTGGCAGAGCTTTGCCTGTCTCTAAGCTTACATCCTGAGGGTTAAATACGCGCATCCTGTCTCAGGAACACCTACCATTGACTTTAATGACCAACAAAACCAAAAGCCCCACACTTTGACAGCACTCAGGTTACTTTCCCACATTTTGCTGGCTACAGAACAGATTTAACTGTCCACTGATGGGGCACTTCTGTGTAAGGGGATCTGTGGCTGGCTCAGAGCCATCCTGTAGCTCATATTCTGTTTCCTTCCAGCAGACAATGCAGGGACAATGGCTGGGCAAAAAGTGGTATGGCCAAGGCTCCTCTGAATGCTGCTGACCCCTGGCTCAGATGCTTGTATTGTAATTATTAGGCTTTATTGTGTACACCCCGTTGAGTAGGAGCATTCGCACTTCTCTCAGCGCTTTTGTTTCAAGCTCTCTGTATTGCTTTGATTGGCACTTGGTTCGCTTTTCGAAATCCATCACCACACCCATCAAGGCTTGTTATTTAGTTTTATGAAAACTCAGGTTCTGACATATAAGCAACATAAAAATAATCTCTAATGAGGTAGCAGTTTATGAGGCTGCATAGTGACATTAAACACTAGGTCTTGGCTATGGTGAATGTTGCACTATAATTAACAATGATACATACACAGAAGAAAGTGAAAAAACAAAGCATCAAGTGAGCCAGTAATCCCTGCATCAATACATTTTTTTTGTAGGTTGGTTATGCCTCCTCCTGCTCGGTTCTTTCTGACAAGTACCAGTTCCCTTCCTTTCTACGGACTATTCCAAACGATGACCATCAGTCACTGGCTATGGCAGAACTTGTCCGACATTTTGGTTGGGTATGGATAGGAACAATAGCAGCAGATGATGACTATGGAAAATATGGAATAAAGTATTTTAAACAAAATGTAGAGAAATATGGAATCTGCATTGCTTTCTCTGAGACCATTCCAAAAATATATTCCAGGGAAAAAATCCTAGCAATTGTGGATGCTATAAAAGAATCCACAGCAAATATCATTGTAGTATATTCTTCTGATATTGATCTCAGTCCCTTAATGGAAGAAATTGCACACAGTAACATTACTGGCAAAACCTGGATTGCAAGTGAGGCCTGGGTTACATCAGCACTAATTGCTAAGCCTGAATATTTCCCATTCCTTCGTGGGACCATTGGTTTTGGCATACGGAGAGGTGACATACCAGGGTTAAAAGACTTTCTGCTTGATGTGCATCCAGATAATGATGCTAGCGATGACTTGACTATTGAGTTCTGGCAGACTGCTTTCAATTGTACTTGGCCTAACAGCAGCGTACCTTATAATACAGATTTTAGAACAAATGTATCAGGCCAAGAGAGAGGAGTAAATCCTGTGTTTCATCAGCTCTGTACTGGAAAGGAGAAACTAGAGGACATAAAAAATACCTACCTGGATGTTTCAGAACTCAGAATAACGTATAATGTCTATAAAGCTGTGTTCACTGTGGCCCATGCCCTTAACAATTTAGACACCTGCGTAGAAGGAAACGGACCATTTCCAAAAAAATCCTGTGCAATTATAGATGATTTTGAGCCCTGGCAGGTAAGCATTAATTTTGCCTAATATAATTTTACTTGATGCATTAAAGAAAGAACTTTAATGTGGGGTGCACAAATGCATTTAACTTTCTTTTAATTTTTTAAAATACATCCCTAAAGAAGATACATTCAGTATTACCTGTAGAAAAAATGAAATAATAAATAAGGAATAGTAAATGTAAAATATATGGTGAAATCAAGTAATGATTTATGATTTGTACTAGATGAGCCTGATTCAGATTTTGCTTACATCTGTGTAAAGCAAGTGGAAGGATGGTTTTGTGGTTAGGGCCTCTATCCTAAGAATCAGGAGACCTGGCTTCAGTTCCTTGCCCTGCAACAGACGTCCTGTGTAACCCTGGGCTAGTCAGTCTATGCATTAGTTAAATAATGGCACTTTATCTCACAGGGATGTTGTGGGGGTGCTCAGTTATTATTATTTGTATTATGATAGGACTAGGAGCCCCAGACATGGTCTGAGATTCCACTATGTGAAGTGCTGTTTGTACAAAAAAGATATTTCCTTCCTTAAAGAGCTTACAGTCATTTGCCAGACAAGAGATTAATGGGTATAGACAGACCAACAGGGGAGTACATGGAACCAATGAGACAATATTGGTCAAAGGCTGTAAGTAGATAGGAGAATGGAATTCTGCTGGTGTGAAATCCGATAATCAGGCCCTTTTAACATAAGGGCTGTGTCTAGACTGCATCCCTTTTTCGTAAAAGGGATGCAAATTAGACATATTGCAATTGCAAATGAAGTGGGGATTTAAATCCCCCCCGCTTCATTAGCATAAAAATGGCTGGATAAGGGATCTTTCGGAAAAGGCTTTATTTTCCGAAAGATCCGCGTCTAGACTGGCGCTTTTTTCTGGCAAAGCTCCAAGCCAGAAAAAAGCAGCAGCCATTTTTATGCAAATGAAGCGGGGGGGATTTAAATCACCGCTTCATTTGCAATTGCGATATGTCTAATTTGCATCCCTTTTATGAAAAAGGGATGCAGTCTAGACACAGCCAAGGTGATTGTTAGTTGAGACTGTATTTGTGAAGTTGGCAGTGCAAATGTCTATTCCTTGCTTTCAAGTTCTTGGGGGTTTGTAAATGACATGAGAGACTTTAGGCCAGAGCCTGATAATCTGGCTCTGAGTAGCACTTTGATCCATAAGTAGCCCCACTGATTTCATGGGGACTACTCAAGGAGCAAGGTTCTACTGCACACATACCCCATGGCAGAATCTGGTACACTGTTATCATTTGGACACACCAGACATAGGAGGTACACATTCAAGTTAATAAGGAATGTAGCAGATCCTTAGTTAATACAGTTTGGACCTCCCTGGTCCAGCATGCTCAGGACCGGTAGGAAGGAATTTTCTGGCTATGGGGAGATCCCCAGCCACTAGCCCCTGAGCCTGCTGCCCTTCCCTGCTGCTGGCTTTGCTTCTGCCCCAGCTGGCCCCCTACATCCAGGCCCAGCTGTCCCTCCTAAGCCCAGCTGGGTTGCCGGCCCCAGCTGGGCTTCCAGACACAGGTCCTGCTACTGCCAACCCTGGCTCTTGTCCCATGGATGCTGACTCTGGACCTGTCCAAGCTGCTGAACGCTGGCCTTGGCCCTTTGAACACTAGCTCTGGCTCTGCCCTGACTGGGTTGCCATCTCTGGCCCTGACCAAGCTGCTGGACACAGGTTCCGCAGACACCAGCCTCACCAGGCTCCTAGACAGACCTCGGATGTTGCTGGACCAGAGAATCCTGGTTTTGGGAGGTGCAACCTGTATAAATCTGTCACCACCCCATTTAAATTAACAGACTTAGGATAATTTACTCTAGATGCAGATTTGTCCCAATACATATCAGAGGAACTTAAGGAGCCATTATTTTAGGCAGAGTGATGAATGCTGTAGGTGGAATGAACTTTCATTGGAGGTGGTAAAATCCAGTAGTTATTAATAGACCTGAATAGAATTACATAGAAGTTTTACAACATAAAACTTAATGCGTTTCAAGGAATATCAATCAGTTTGATAGTGTAATAAGCATCAAACAGCCCATCTTTACAGGGAGACTGATGAAAAATCTCCTCCTCTCTTGCTTTTCTTCCCATGGGGGGGATTACTTGACCACTTCTCTGGCACAAGATTATATGTATGTATGTTGATGCACCATTAATTAAGATGATGGCATAGAGAGTATGATTATTAAGTTTTCAGATGAGACCAAGCTGAGAGGGTTTGCAAATGCTTTGGAGGATAGGGTCAAAATTCAAAATGATCTGGAAAAACTAGAGAAATGGTCTGAGGTAAACAGGATGATGTTTAATAAGGACAAATAAAAGTACTCTACTTAGGAAGGAACAATCAGTTTCACACATACAATAGGGACTGATTGCTTAGGAAGGAGTACTGCTGAAAGAGATTTAGGGGGTCATAGAGGACGACAAGTTAAACATGAGTCAACAGTGTGACACTGTTGCATAAAAAGCAAACATGATTCTGACATGCATTAACAGGAGTGTTGTGAGCAAGACACGAGAAGTCATTCTTCCACTCTACTCTGCCCTGATTAGGGCTCAATTGGAGTATTGTGTTCAGTTCTGGGCACAACATTTCAAGAAAGATTTAGAGAAATTGGAGAAGGTCCAGAGAAGAGCAACCAGAATGATTAAAGGTCTAGAGAACGTGATTTATGAAGGAAGACTGAAAGAATTGGGCTTGTTTAGTTTGGAAAGGAGAACACAAGAGGGGACACAATAACAGTTTTCAGGTATCACAAGGAAGAGGGAGAAAAGGTGTCACAAGGAAGAGGGAGAAAAATTGTTCTCATTAGTCTCTGAGGATAGGACAAGAAGCAACGGGCTTAAACAGCAAGGGCGGTTTAGGTTGGACATTAGGAAAAACTTCCTAAGTATCAGGGTGGTTAAACACTGGAATAAATTGCCTAGGGAGGTTGTGGAATCTCCATCACTGGAGATAATTAAGAGCAGGATAGGTAGACATCTATCTGGGATGATCTACACAGTACTTGGTCCTGCTGTGAGGGCAGGGGACTGGACTCAATGACCTCTTAAGGTCCCTTCTAGTTCTATGATTCTATGTTTTAAAACTTATTTAATTTTAATTTTTAAAAATCTTTGAGGCATTTCAAGACACGACAGTTCCATGTCCTACTTCAGATCCTTTCCAACTCTAACTAGTGTATGTAACTCTGTAAATAAATTTCCTCTTTTGATTTATAGTTAATGTATTATCTGAAGAATGTTAAATTTACAACCTTTGACAATGAGCTAATAAAGATAGATGACAATGGAGATGTGTATGCATCATATGACATTATAAACTGGCAGTTAAAAGAAACTGGAGAAATCTCCTTTGTGAAGATTGGAATCTATAATGATACAAAAGATGGGCATGAGATGAAGATATATAACAATGACTCTATATTTTGGAACACTCCAACATTAAAAGTTAGTAAAATTTTCCTCTTATCTTCTTAATTTACCTCTGTGACTTTTGAGACTGGTGTTATGCAAACTCACTTTGCCTGTTCAGTTATCCCACCTCTTAGCCATTGCCCTACCTCGCTCTATTTGTCTATTTCATTGTTGTGTATATAGTCAAAATACTAGTTTATAAAATATCTGGGCCGGATTTTAATTTGTGTTGTGTATAGATACAAATGTGTCCCTTATCCCTGATTGGGGTCAGTATACTGCTGCAATAGAAATAAAGAATAATAATTAATAAAAATGAAAATAAATCTGTGATTACTTTGTGTTGGCCATATCATGCATTCCTTATTGACTTAATGGGAGTAGTTTCTGAGTAAGGTTTGCAGGTTTTGCCACTTAGAAAGTGGTCTTGATCTTGAACATTTTTCAGTGTGTTTGAAGTCACATATTTAATCTACAAATATATGTTTGTTCAAATGCACACATTATATCTTTGTTTAGGAACAAAACTTATTTCTAGAAACCAATTTGTCTGGTTGAGTACAGAAGTGTACGGATTTTTGTAAAGGATATATTCATTTAAAATACAACCAGTTTCTTTATAAAAATGCATTATTTTACTCCTTGTGTGACACTGCTTCCTACAGTAATGGATAACTTTTTTTTTTTGCATTTTTAATGTTCTAGCAGTGCATTAATTATTTAATACACTGTCTGTAGTTTAGTCTGGCCAGTCTGTCTGGTGGAAAAATAACAAATAATACATTTTATCTGGAGCACAGAACTGAGCTCTTAAGTTTTAGGGTAGAAAAGATGACACGGTCCCAATTAGAGCATAATAAATTAACTTTTTTGGGAGGCCAGGCTTGCATTTTGGGAATGAACCATTGTTAGCTACATATTTATACACTTAAAGCATTTATCTGTAGAAGAAGTAGATTTGACATTGTATTCTGTTCTTTGTAGCCTCCCCGCTCTGTGTGTACTGAAAGCTGCCAATCTGGTACAAGAAAGGGGATCCAACATGGAGTGCCTGTGTGCTGTTTTGTCTGTATTCCATGTGCAGATGGAGAGATAAGTAATGAAACAGGTACAGTACAAAAATGAATATTTTTAGACATATCTCTGATTTTGTCTGGATAATAAAACAGTGAAGGCCTCTATCACTCAGCTCTACAGGAAATAAAGTCAGAATGACCATAGTTCTCTTTCAGATACAGTTGAACTTTTATAACTGGCAAACTCAAGGCTTCATAAAATCTCTCTCTGGCTATATCATTTGTAGAAAACCTTTCACCATTGTAGTGAGGTACTTATATCTAACCACTCCAATTCAGCATGAAAATATTTCTGAAAACTCAAAATTTTCCACAAAACTGAAATTCAGTTTCTAGCCAGTTGTTAATTCATTGACCGTAGAGCTCCAAGTGACCATTTTGATCATCTAGTTTAAGCTCCTGCATGAAGTAGGCCATAGGATTTCTGAATGAATTTCTCATGGAGATGGAGTAATCTTTTAAAAAAACAGCTAGTCTGATTCAAAAATTGCCAGTGATGGAGAATCTATCCCAACTTTGGGTAAGTTGTTTCAATGGTTAATTATCTTCACTGTTAAAAATGTGCACTTTATTGAGTAAAAATTTTGCTAGTTTCAACTTGGATCATGTTATACCTTTGTCTGCTACATTGAAGAGCCCTCAGTTACCAAATTTCGGTGCACCGTGTAGATACTTAAAGTGTGATCAAATCACCCATAATTTTCATTTTGGGTAGCTAAATAGCTTGAGCTCTTTGAGCAGCTGACTACAAAGTAAGCTTGCCAATCATTTTATCCATCTCACAGCACATATCTGAACCCTCTATAATTTTTCTACTCTTACGAGCATGTCAACATGAAGAATGCTATTTATATGTCAGAGCATGCCTTACAGAAGCTATTTTCAATTACTGAAACACATTAGCTAAATTTTATCCCCAGCAGCTCTCCCAGTTAAATGGTATGAGATTCCATTAGCAGGAGGAATCCATCTGCCCAAACTTCTTAATGGTTAACTTCTTTGCTTCACCCAAGTGAAAAAAAAGTGAGCCTTTTAGAAACAGATACATGTAACGGTCCATATCTAAATCCTGTTAAAATTCTCTTTTATGTATTTAACAGAGGCAAGAGAATGCTTTCAGTGTCCTGATGATTACTGGCCCAATACACCCAAGAATGAATGTGTGCTAAAGGAGGTGGAGTTTCTGGCTTATACTGATGCTTTAGGGACCACACTGGTAGTTCTCTCTCTGTTTGGAGCTTGTATTGTCCTTTCAGTGACCTTTGTTTTTAGAATGCACAGAAACACTGCTCTTATGAAAGCCAATGACCGAGAGCTGAGCTTTCTCATTCAGCTATCTCTTGTCATTACTTTGTTATCTTCCTTCTTCTTTGTTGGTAAACCAGAAGAGTGGTCATGTCAGATCCGCCAGGTGATCCTTGCCCTGGGGTTTTCTCTTTGCTTGTCCTGTATACTGGGAAAAACGATTGTGCTCCTGTTAAAATACAGACATACCAAGTTCAAGCCTACAGAGAAGCATGCTCATATAGTCATGCAACCTCTTCATCAAAAACTTCTTGTGCTAATCTCTGTGATAATTGAAGTGTGTATTTGCACAGCCTATCTTGCATGTATTCCTCCATATGTGTACAAAAATATGGAATTTCAAAATGTAAAGATAATTCTTGAGTGTAATGAAGGCTCCATAGAATTTTTATGTATTATGTTTGGGTTTGATGTATTTCTTGCTGTATTATGCTTCATCACTGCCTTCATAGCTCGCAAGTTACCAAATAATTTCAATGAAGCTAAATTTATCACTTTTGGAATGTTGGTATTCTTCATAGTCTGGATTTCTTTTGTTCCAGCCTATTTAAGTACAAGAGGGAAATTCAAAGTAGCTGTTGAGATATTTGCAATTTTGGCATCAAGCTTTGGTTTGCTTGGTTGCATATTTGTGCCAAAATGTTACATTATTTTATTGAAGCCAGAAAGGAATACGGAGGAAATTATCTCAGGCAAAGCCACCACTAATGACAAGAGTGCTCCGCCCAGCTCAGCCTCATGCACCACTGAGATTAGCAACAGTACCCTCTCCACTCTGGCACTTGATGAGTAGAAGATGTTTTGAGTTCCTGCTCTTTAGCATTTATGGATTTTCCTGTACCATTGATTTGCCATCGTTTCCAATGTAAAGTTATAGATTCTGGTTCTTGGGGGACAATGCAAAGATGGCACAACCAAATTCAAACCATATTACATGTACTGAGAAAATAAGGCATGTCACCACTGGGGAGCTTTTATAGATGGATGTTTGCTTTTATGCTAAATAAATAGGGAGTGTGCAGGGTAAGAGAGATGGAATGAGGGGAGCATATGTTCTTGTGGGATATTAAATGCTTTCCTTTAAGACTGTGTGGAACCTACTCGCTTAGATTATGTGTTTCAGCAACTTTACCTGTAAGTAGTCTGCCAGCTTTCTAATGGCAGAAAACTCAACTCCTTTGTCCCACCCCTGTTCCTGCCCCTCCCCTTCCACGAGACCTGCCCCTTCTCCCAAGCTCTGCTCTCCACTCACTCCAACCCCACCCCTGTTGCTCGCTCTCCCCCACCCTCACTTGCTCACTCATCACCAGGCTTGGGCAGGAGCATGAGGTGTGGGATGAGGTGGGAGCTCTGGCGGGGGATGCAGGCTCCAGGCTGGGGCCAGAAATTAGGGTTTCAGAGTAAGGGAGGGGGCTCTGTACTGGAATAAGGGGTTGTGGTGCAGGAGGAAGGATGAGACCTGGGGAGGGGCTGAGGATGAGGGCTTTGGGGTGCAGGAAGGGATTTTGGGCTGGAGCAGGAGATTGGTGTGTGTTGGGGGAGAGTCAGGTCTCTAGTTAGAGCTTGGGTGGAGTGGGGAACAAGGGTTTTGGGGTTCAGGAGGGGGCTCCAGGTTGGGGCTTGGGGTATAGGAGGGGGTTCTGGGCTGAGAGCAAGGGGTTTAGGGTGTGTGTGGGTGGAGGCTCAGAGCTAGGGAAGGAGGTTGGGGGTACAGGTTCTGGGAGGGAGTTTGGGTGCAGAAGGGCGCTTAAGGCTGGGGCAGTGGTGCTGAGTGAAGCTGCCATTTGAACCAGGAGTTCTTGTTGCAAACTGGACATCTAGTAATTCAACCTGCAGACTTAGTTTACACAGGTTTGGGGCATGCAAAATTGATTTTAAATGTTGGCTTCATTTAAAAAATACGACACTGGGTCAGATAAATCTATGCAAACATGCTGAAATTTGTCAGTTCAATTTAGAAACTAAAAAACTCATTTAGATTCCCCATCCAAGTTCCTTCCCTTCTCCTGCCATAGCAGTCTGTGGGCTCCTCCCTTTTCTTTCATCATCACCCAGCATCCAAAGCCCAGAGGCTTTCTGTTCCTCTGATGTATATTAGGGGCTTATGCTTTTCAGATAAATCTATGCAAACATGCTGAAATTTGTCAGTTCAATTTAGAAACTAAAAAACTCATTTAGATTCCCCATCCAAGTTCCTTCCCTTCTCCTGCCATAGCAGTCTGTGGGCTCCTCCCTTTTCTTTCATCATCACCCAGCATCCAAAGCCCAGAGGCTTTCTGTTCCTCTGATGTATATTAGGGGCTTATGCTTT